CATTCTAATTACTCTAAAAATTATACCTGCATTGTCGATGCCGCATTTGATTCACGCATAAATGATTACAGCCTCATTATAATCTGTATCTACTTTTAACTTTTCTTGTTAATAGAACGTTTACCCGAGAGGCGTATTCGATTTTGGAGTGCTTATCTTCTCTTCTATGAGCGAATAGAATCTCCCCAGCCCGGAATAGTCTGTCGTCAAGGTGATTATATTCCTGGTCCTACCGCAACCTCTGCCTCTCCTTTATTTGCAGCTCAGCCTCGACATGTTAACCTGGCCACTCCCTTGGTCCCTCCACCAGCGTCCGTTTCACTCTCCTCAGACTCCATTTCTGAAGCAACTGTGACTCTTGCGCAAAGGCGAGCTCGCTTACAATTGGTCCATCAAGAAGTGGACCAAGAGGAGCCAGAAATCGGTATTCTTAATAGACAAGGTATATCAAAGCAATCACTGATAAGCCATTTAGGCGCCTATCCTAATAGCTATTATATGCTTTGGAGAAATACGCTAGTTATTGAGCTCAACAAAAAGCATGCTATTATGGGAATTAACGTCTGAAAAGAACAAGTGCTCATAGATGGCCTGCTGACTCTAAAGAGAACGGAGAATTTCCGTGCGGAAATATCCTGATGATGTTGTCCGTTAGCATCACGTTAAGACTAAAATTATTGTCAGTCGCTGCATAGATATGATAAAATATCTTTAACCTTTGGGCTCTTTCGGTTTAAATAGATCATTTCTCCCATATACTTCACCCGCTTCTTTAAAAGACTCGAGAGGCAATCTGAGAATATGCTTATTTATGAATCAAGAAGAAATGTATTGTGGCCATCACATCAGTCATTAATATTCTAAAACTAATTTAATATTTATTTGTCTAATAAAAGTTCCTTACTAAGAGCTCAAAATGCAGTTGGGATAGAGTAAATGTTGACAAAAATATCTCATCAAGGTACATTATTTGTCATAAAGTTTTACATGGTTTGATTTTAATTGAAGGTATAATTAAATTTTTATCCCAATTTATCACATCATTATTTCCAACTGGTTCCGGCTTAAAGCTTATGTAAGTCTAGCCAGCAGCCTCAGTAAGATTAAAGTCATGAACATTCAGATTTATGAGTAAATGCCTAAATCTATTAAGTTGCGCTGGAAGCCTCTTCTTCATTTCGTCGTTGACAGAACTGCTATTTGTGCATATAATGAAATAAATAAAGTTTTGTTTATTAATATTAATTATGTTCCTGAAAGCTGCGACCAAATTACTACTTAAATTGTAGTTTATATAAAGGTTTATCGCTAATTGCTATTTTATCTCTGTCCACTTTGTGTTCCCAATGTCTTTATGCATTAACTATCATAAATTCGCTAAATTTTTTAAACATATTTTGAAGCAATATATCTTAAATATACTTAGACTCAAAATTTGAAGAATTATTACTTGCTTTATTCCCAACCCTTTATCAATACTGCTCCCACTTTGACCTCATTCTTTTCTTGCTCTTTTCTCAATTCCAGGGAATTTAACAGATGGGGCCAGTCGCTGCAAGGGCAATGACTCCAAGCCTAAGCTGGAACGAGATCATAGCCGAGGCTCTTTTGCTGAGCTCTCAGATCTAGTTCATCGTAGTGAGCGCCATCGGGGCATCACTCTTCTTGTCGGTGGATCTTCTGCTGTTGCCAGTTTGCAGAATAACAGTCGCGCTGGACAATATTTATTTAACCCTTCACTTGCACCCTCTCATTCGGTCCACGCAGTGCCCCCTAACTCGGAGGGTTCAAGTGGCCCTGTTGGATCAAGTATTGGCTCTGCTTGCCCGATTTCAGCTGATACTTATGGTTATGCGATTATGCCGTCTCGCATCTCTCGCGAAATAAGATCCGAGAACTTGTCCTTTCTGCGTAACAAAGACGTATACTCGGCGGATTATTTCGGGTTGATCCACGCACTCGCGATTGGCATACTGGTTAGTTCAGTCTATCCATCTACTATATTATACACAGACGTGTTTTGTTTTGGCATCTGAGGCCGAATTACATCATGATTAGCTTTCAATGTTCTTTAATTAATATAACATATTATCGTCCACTTGTGCATACTATAGTTTGTTTTGGGTTAGTATTAAATGAGGATGTGTTAAAAAGATAAGTTCAGAGTGGACGTAACTGAAGAGTATCAAAGTTGCTTATAGAGTAAGTCTCGAAACTACCAATAGATCTTGAATAAAAGCTGTATTTGCCCTAGGTCATATAAGGAGATAAGGACTGATCGTTGAATTTTACCTTATTTGTGTGAGTAGGTCTCACTATGCCATTTCATTTTGATAAGCTTTGTCTCCCTGTGGTTAATTAAAATTAAGAAATGGTTGAAGAGAAAATTGGTCGAGGAAATTGCCTTCACTTGCCACTGATAGGTTGTAACTCTGTGCTAAAGATGGCGCCTTTCATTGACGATGCCTATGAAACGTCTTGAATATACCAAGTCAACTGTCTGATGCTGAAAATCACCATGAATACTCAAGCAGAGACCTCAAAATGTTCCCTGTTTCTCAGCACAAATTTCGAAAACTAGGTCAACCCAACATGCTGCAGGTACAGGAGGCTGCGATTAAACAAAAAGCCACACCATCTATGATATAAAAATAATAAAGATTCTCAACGATCCTAGCCACATTGCTCAATAACAAGATGGTCAATCATTTATTTGACCAGCAATTTTATTATAAATTAAATTTCTCCAATATGATGTTTTCTAAATTTTACAATGCAATTATTCGCCATAGTTAACCAAACTAGATCCCTTTGGAATTCATTGTATCTGTCGTTAAAAATGTTTATCAGAGGTGAAAAACGTAAGTCTTGACATCGAGAATTAGCTTAGATTTATCCCCCTTCATAATCTGGCTCATTTCCATAGTGAGATCTTAATTCCTTCATGGACTTACAATTATAACTTAGAAATAAGTCTTTGTAAATATTTTTATTTACTATTTTTACGAATTAACGCAAGCTTTTGACTTATTACTGCCGATATTTAGACATTTTATCTTTAGTGCCTGCATAATTATGAAATCCATTAATTCATAATTTCTTTATCATTGACAATTAATCTTAAAGATAGCTTCTTCTCGTGTACCTTTGGAAGGTCGTAAGAGCTGAATACTTTAATGATCCCTTGAAAAATTTATTTATTTTCCTATCGTTTCTCCATTTCACTCTTGCTTAATGGTGTCCTTAAGTCTGCTATTGATCCCTACAATGGGATCTTCACAATTTTATACATATTAGTTATTATAACTCAATTGTCCTGCCATCACGAACAAGATAGTTGCGGAGCTGTCCTCGTTTCGGTTGGTCTTTTTTTGAACCTTAGCTACACTTCCCTGATGAATTAAACTTAAGGTTTGATTTTGCATTTACCTCTGAGTAACGATTATCCAAAATAACCTTTTATTTCCAGGATGGACTTTGAATTCAACCTCG